GGGCACCGCTGTGTCCTCGGGTTCAAGGCACACAAACATCTGGTCGTCTTGCACACAGACCTGCATTGCGCAGACGTCTGCGCACTTTAGTAGCTGAAATTCCTTTTTCTGATGCCACTAAATGATCTGGCACGAGTTGAGGCACAGTAATGTTACTCGTCCTTCTGGCAGAGCTAAATAATGGTGTACCGCAGGTATTCTAACTCTAGGTGTGCCTGGAACATGTCTTCTAGACACAAAGTCCTCGGATTCAAGCTGATTCCATAGTCGGTGGGCCATACTAGAGAGACACTGAAACGCCTAGCAGCATCAACTTGTGACATTCCCATTTCCATCCACCCGATCGCCCGCCACCTCAACGAATCAGGCAAACGACTTCTCCTAGATATTGAGAGACCCTGCTGGATATTGTCCACGAAATTGTAATAACAACTGAAGATTTAAACATTACTGACATTTTTTTTAATGATGAGCTTTGAAAAACATGCTCTTTCTTAACTTTTGGAAGGCAGTGTATTTTAGTACTGCTATAGTAATTCTATGGCGATTTAGAAGCTTAAACTGGTGTAACTTATACGGTAAATAGCGTTTAACTTTATTAATTTAATAAAACAGGGTTAATATGTAGTAGTAAAATGGATTGGCAACGCGGATGCCATTTGTCACCATCTGGAGGTTACTACTGCAGTAACGCTATGTAAGATGACCGGCCACCCAAGGAATTCAAATGTTTTGATTTTCTATGGAAGTGGCCGTCTTAGAAAGGCGATGTTTAATACAAATGTTAATTTGAAGTTCTCAGAAATAATGAACATTTTCAATGCTGCTCGTTATGAAAAGATTGGGATCTAGAGGCTGATCCTAGCGGTGGGCAAGATGATGCACAGCATGTGGACGACGGTGTAGGATCGGTACTGTAAAGGAGTAATTCACTGATAATAGTTTCTGATTCTAGATCGAAAGTATATAGTTCTTGATTGGCGGTTAGTAGATAAATAGTTTTCATCAGAACTCCATATGTTTTCAATATCCGAATCTATATACTATATTACGAAATTTCGGTTGTAAGAAGTGTCTGGAATCAAAGCAGAGACTAATAAAGCTCCTAATTGGTGTAAGACAGCAGAAAAAACATTATATACACTTTCCATTGTTAAGGTACAATTCAGAAGAGTGAGGGGGAAAAAGTAGTCTGAGATGATAATTGACTGTTGCATTTCAAGAAAAGGTGCAAGTGCTAACTAGCCAACAAATTTTGTACGGGCATCGACGTTAGATCTGGATCTTAGATCGGATTCTTCGGTTCTTTAGCGGCCACGAATAAAAGTTACGGATGATCAGACGGAACGAAAATGAGAATTACGTTAAAAACTGCCGAATATTTATAGAACGTCTGAGGCTCAAAGGTCGTTCATACATGTGAGAAAAGAACACCTGGAGCTCAAAAGTTCAGAAAAAGAATGTTTGGGAATCAAATATCATTGAGACAAGCATTTTCTTTTTTTTTTTTTTTTCTTATCTCTACCTATTTATTTTTTATCAATGAACAGTATGTTTTTGCAGTTTTTTTAAATATTGGTATTACTCTGGCTAATAATATTTACTCAAAAATAATACTCTCTTTTTTGCTTTAAAATGTGGTAAGATCTTATACTGTTTTTATTATATATATATATATATATATATATAAAATAGCAGAATGAGCGTAAGGTACTTTTTTTGCTATATTATATAGATACATTACATTACTTAAATGCTAAATAAACCACACATGTAATAATTATAATAGCTTTGTGTAGCCAAATGATTTTGGTTTCAATCTATATTCATTTTACTGGCTTGAAGCAAATATTGTTACGAATTGTCCAGCCGCGGTAAGATAGCTTCTCCGCAAAGCGGGTTTAAGGTTGCCAGAAAATGGCATGGAAAGGCATGATTGCCACATTTGCCGCGAAACCGCCCATTTGGCAACACAATAGGCAATAATCCATGGACGAATGGAGAGCATTCTGGAACAAATTCTTACCGGTTTGGCCAGCACCTCCTGGATACAGGGGTTAAGTTCTAGGGGGTGTTGGTTTGACCCAGAATGATCTCGAAGGCAGCCCAAAAAAGCTTTTACGAGTATAAACCCTGCCTGTACGCGGAGAGCAGTTCATCATCAGTCTAGTGTCGAATGTATCGGGAGGATGTCTCGTTAGTGTATCGAGAGTGTATATCGTTGAGGCTATCGAGTGTATCGTCGAGAGTATCGCGAATTGTACCGTGGAGAGTCTCGAGAGTACGTTGAATTCCGAGAAGGATCAAACCGAGTCGAGAGCTGTACTTTAGTGCTTCGCCGTGAAGCTGTCTTCACCGTTTTTTGGAACTGTCCCTTTGTAACACTGGCTAATAAACTGTGCTTTCATTCTTCATCAAGTGTTGTCGTTAATCACTCCAAATTCACAAACCCGTAAGACCACAATAATATGCTCCTGAAACTTAAGCTGTGTTATAAGAATTGCTTATAAAAATTCAAATATTGCTTAAGAATTATATTATCTTACTTTAGCAAGTTCTTTAAAAAATTATATTTCGATGACGTTAAGACTGATATCTTTAATTTAAATATCTCTTAAGCAGATTTTTAATTTACTGGGGGGAAAACTGTCTTAACTTCTTATTCGCACAATTTAGTAATGAGCTCGTATAACATGCAAGAAGACACAAATATGAAAAGAAGAGAAGATTTTTACTACTTATTGATTAAATGAAAGGGGATATGTATATATTCTCTCATTTTAATTAGAAAAAATTTATTTCGGAAAATTTGCACTTTAAGTTAAGTTTATGATTATTGGTTTAATTTATGATGTCAGTGCAGTTCAGATTTTCACATCATTTAAAAAGGCCACCCAATACATTATCTCCGATTCCAAAAATTCGCGGGAAGCCATTTCGGCTATTCCCATCTTTGTACGACTTTATCAGCCGAAATATTAGTTAAAACATCTGAAAGTGCTAATTTTCGCACTCATTGTTCCTATGGCAACAGTCTCGCGCATTGGAGATAAAATTGCTTTATTTCGAAAAGTGTTGCTACTGCTCACTTTCGAATCGTAGAGTTTGTTAATAAAAAATTTGTAAGTTTTACAAAATCTATATATATAAGGAAGAATGTCTGTTTGTTCGCGTTACTAATTTCTGAATTTCTGATCAATTATGATAACTTTTTTGGCCACATTTAATCAACTAAAATTGAATATAGGGGAAATACTGCATGGAACTTGAACTTTTATGACCATTTGATTAGAAAGACGAAAATCATTAAAACTGCGTGCCATTGTTGCTGATGTAATGAGAGAGAATTAGTTTACTTTTTTATCGAAATTTTTATGTGGGTTCCATATTGCATCAGAGTGAAAAATGCATTACTATGAATCGTATTTTTTGCATCGTTATTAGAGTAGGATTACAGCTGTATCGTTCTCTCTCTTGTTAGATGCATTACTCTCAATCTAACTTAACTGGTACTTCCGCTAGTATGTAATAAAATGTACTAATATCAAGAGGTCGTAGAAAGAAAGACGCACTTTATTTTATCAGCACAAGAACGAAATTCGATTAGAGTATTACTGAGAATACAGAAAATGCTAGAAGCAGTACGAGAGGGAAATTTTGAACGAAAATAGACAGGAACCGGGGTCAGAGAGCCCCTGTTGATATAATCATAGCCATCAAACGAAATGTGCATGGGGGGATAACGAATCTAACTACTAGCTGAGAACAAACATGGTATTTCGTACAAATGATATTTTTTCTTCACCATATTTGGTATATGAGGAAGGAGGATAGTATAGGTTTAGTTTGGTTTATTTTAATTACGGTAAAGCACTTGAGGGCTATCTCACCTAAGAGAAGAGATCCCTTCGGGGTGGACTTTCTAAGGGAAACTGGCTAATGCATGTTACACATGGAAAAAACCACGAAAGGAGTAACAGGAAAGTAGAAATGAAGATCGTATATTCATTGTGTTACAGAGATTTACAACAAAAGGGTTTTTTGGCCGATATGCTAACGGCCCAGTGGATCGTGAGCCCCACAATATGTTAAGATTTTATTTTAATTAATAAATTATCTTTATTAGTTCAGCTTTTCTTTACTTCTGCTTTTCTCAACTTTCACCAGAATGCAAGTTAATTCAGAATTAAATACGCATTTTCCCAGTTTGTCAGTGTTTAGAAGCTTAGGCTGGCTGTCACCCGCAATGAATGTATGCTGTTTATCTTGCCAGCAAAAATTTGTTTACTGATATTCTTCGCAATAATCAAGGTTTAAATTAGTCAGGTTTAAATTAGTAATCAAGGTTTAATAAGTCAAGATTTAAATTAGCCTCTGCTAAAACTATTAGGAATTTTCATTTTAGAAAAGTGTGTATGGGTTAAAAACAAAAAAATTTTGTTTTCCAAGTTCTTGTGTTATTGTTCACTTGAATGAAAAAATTTTACTTTGTTATAAAATTTATGTCTTCTTTGCATTTCAATTTACTCCTATGAGGAGTTATAAGGAAAAGAAAATGTTTGAATTTTTAGCTGATGGGAAAAAAATTATGCTCATCATGGAAAAAGACATGCATTGCTAAATACAATGTAATATCAACAAGAACTCTCTTTTATTCATGTATATTAATAATCAGACATCATAAATATCTTAAGATATTTTCCTAAATCCATAAATAATAAAAACAGATATTGTCAGCGCAAATTATAAGCTTTATATTTGAAAAAAAATCATCATTCATGTTAGCACGATTCATGTTAGCATTCATGTTAGTCGATTTCAGGATTGAACAATTGCAATTATGTCAGTAATTATGATTATTTACACACTGTCTATTTCAAAATTTTTATTTCTAATTTTGTCTCAGCTGTGCATTATTATTCATAGATCATCATGCATACTATGTTCTCAGCAATTTTAAGAGAATTTAATAAAAATTATCATCCAAAAAACTGTAAAAATATCATATAAAAATGGTATTAGTTTTATTATTAGACATCGTACAAGTATAAAATATAAAACAAAGACTTGCCCAGCAAGAATATAGGAATAAAGATGAATAAATAACCAATTTTAAATGGTTCCATAAGCCAAACCAAACGCCCCAACGGCCGCCTCGCCTTCGTGTGCAACATCATCATAACTAGGAGGAGGTGAAGACCTATCCAGGAATTCACCATCGTCTGTTTCTGCATCTATATCAGAAAGATTGCTACAGCTTGAATTTAGTTCTGAATTTGATGCTTCCAGTTGCACAGTACAGGACATCACTGCGGTACCACTCGTAGATGGTTCTGAAATATTCAGAACTAGATTCGTCTCCATACTTCCAACAGGATGGTTGGAAGAATGTTGCTCACTGGCGAGGTTTTCAGGCTCCAAATTGCACTCTGGTACACTGCAGTCAACAACAACTCCAGGTACAGTTATTATGTTGTCGGAAGGCAGATTACTGCTGGAATTTTCTGATACGTCAATTAGAACATCTGAGGTAAATTCTGGAATGTCGGTAAGGATATCTGAAGAATCAGTGACACCTATAAGAGTGCTGGTAGGAGGCGGAGGAAGATCTAAAATACTGGTGGATACTGAATTTTGAACATCGACAAAGACGTTAGGCAAGTTTTCAGAATTAACTGCACTTGTCGAAGGCTCGGATACATCTACAAGAACCGTTGAAGGCACGGGAATGTTTACGAAGGCACTGTGATTTTCAGGTTGGCTATCACACGTGCTAGGTACGTTATCACAGACTGAGTTAATCTCTGGTGAGCAGTCCATCAAATCGATGGTATTGGCTGTAGAGGAGCTTCTCTCCTCTGTTTGAGTTGTACCTGCGGCAGTAACAGCAGACGATCTCTGAACTGGAGCCTGAATACTACTACACTCGCCGGTCATCTCTGCAATAGCAGTCACAGGAGCACTGGAAGAGCCACTGCTAGTAACAGAAACAGGATTTGGCACTGCATGAGACCATATATTGCAAGTCTGCACCTCAACGCTTTTCAGCACAAGATTAGTAGCTGGTTTTGGGGCCGCAACAGAGCTTGAAGAGGCAACTTCAGAAGCAGTTGTTTCAGGTGCAACACTGAAAGGCAAAAGAATCAAATTAAGAAACATCTCCTACAAATGTTTTTAACGGCAATATTTAATTTTATTTTAAACTCTCAGAGAGTGGAGAATGATTTGTTAAAATTTTCAAAATGAAGATACAGTGCAGCCTCGTTTAACAAGCATAACTTATTCCCGAATCTTACGCGTAGTGCCAAACACTCGCAAAGCGAAACAATTTTTTTCTGTATGAATGTTGGTAAAATAGGTTAAAATTCTGAAAAAAAAAAAAAAAAAAAAGGAATTAAAAGATTACTCAACTGAAACTTCCATTTAATATATAATTAAATACGTTTAGTTACATAATAAATCAGCGAAAATATCTGTTGGACCCTACGCTGCTAATTATGCGACGGAAAGAAACTTATAATAATAATATCCAGACTTTAAACGAGAAGATTAAGGAGGAATGATATATAAAGTTTCTCAGAATAAAAACACACAACGTACTTTCAAATTTTAAATCACTTGAATATAACGTATTTGTTTGAAAGATTTAACACACATTGCAGTGCCCATTTCACACGCACCGCCATATAACTAACGGGCCGTAACTTAGAGCGTTGAGTCAATCAACGATAATATATGTGCCTCTCGAGGAATGTGAACTCTTGGGTACGCAAAGTGGGAAATCTACGTTTGGTCGAAGGCCGGCAACGTTAGTCGCGAAGTGTATAACAACCTTTTCCACGGATAGGAATTTCAAATGGCGCAAAGTCGGCGCTTTTTCTCAGTGACGGGTCAATTCTGAGGTTAAATTGAAGAACCTTTTTCCCATGTTTTACGAACGATATTTCCTCTAATGCGTCACATCCTGGGACACCGGCTGTACGCCATTTCAAGGCAGGGCCTCTTTCCTTCCTGGCCTGGAGGTCAATGTTCATGTCAAAACAAACACAGCCATCACAGCTCAAAGTAGGCATGCCGAATTTAGAGCCTGTAATCTGAATAATTTATGCATACTTCTTCGACGGCCTTTGATATTTCATTGGTCAACAGAAATACTTTTTAGAGAGCAGAAACTGCCAAAGGAAAAGCAGCAAAACAAAAACTTTAGAAGTTATCATATCATTTGCGTTTGAAAATAAAATTTTTTCCTTTTAAAACATTACTTTAGAAAATGGAGCTGTCTGATGTGCCCATAATATCTAAAAATATAACGTAATTTAATCCGCATTCTTTAACGTCTTTTAACTTCAAAAATCTGATGTGGACACCACATGAATTCCTTGTACGGCTTATTAAATTATACACATTTTTTGTTTCGCTTCGTTTAAACTTACTTCCTCGAATCATTCTTACTTAATTAACCAATCTGTGAAGACAAGCTGCAAATGAACTACAAAAATTGCAAATTTTGAAATCAAATATCACTGTGAATTTTTGTCGTTCGGGAGTCAAACTTCTTATAATTTTAGTTCTTCACACCGAGTATAAAACTTTCCTAAATATAAGTGCAGGAACCGGAAGACCCTATTAAAAGTTATATTTTTTATTTGAACAAAATGAATATTTTTTTTTTTTTTTTTTTTTTTTTTTTTTTTTTTTTTTTTGTAAATCTGACATCGTCAAAACATGATTAAAAAACACTTCTGTATTTAGAAGTATATGACTAAGACCAACGGTTAAAAAAATAAAAACCGGGTAAGGAGGGGGAGTATATGTACGTTTAGTTTTGCCGATTGCGATAAAAAAAGGCGGTACGCAACTACATGTTATAGCTTTGCCATATGCAAAATTCCAACGTTCTATGTCTAATCGTTTCTGAGCTATGCGAGATATATGCATACAAATGTGTGTACGTACGGATGGACAGACGTCACGAAAAATCCCTTTTTAATTCCACTTAAATCCGACGATAGGTAACAATCCGTTTCGAGGGGGGGAAAAAAAAAGAGAGAGAGAGAGAGCTGTTCTGTCACTACGTACAGACCTCACGGAAAAAAAAAAAAAAAAAAAAAAATGTGCAAACTTGACGATTACTTGGTCACATTTGGGTCCGGACCTTGTATAACCGTAATAGATATTGTAACTGACGTTCTGTGGCACTGTAACCGTATCCGCAGTAATTTCCAAAAGCAAAAAGTACTAGATATTTCGATGGCCCAGTAAAAATTATATAAGATCGGAGAGAGCGTCTACTCTTTGTTTTCGTTAGCTCAGCGTTAGTTCAGCGTGAGTTCGGAGTAGTCAGATGGCTCCGGGTCAGCTTCGTTCTTTAGATGCGCTTTGCATTATTTGTGTTTAACGTTTGTGTTTAACGATAAGTTTGAAGTGTAACTACTGATTGTACTCTGTGATGCTGTGAAAAGTTGTACAACTATTTTTGTCGAATGTTCCAGAACTGTGAAAAAATAAATTTTTATCTACCTATCGTCGGATTTGTGTGCATTCAGTCTATTATGAACCCGTACGTACGCAACAATATTGAATGTTTTTTCATTTGAATTAAACGCAATTTTAATTAATTAATGCATTTTTATTTAAAGTAAACAGATTAAAGAGTAAATAATCTTAACTATTGCAATTATTTTTTTAAATAGTTTAGTTTGTTTGTGAGGTATTTCTCCCGCCTTTCTAGAGTGCCTTCGTGGTGTAGTGGTCAGCACCGGCTCCGTCCCAGTATTTCAGAGGTCCGCGGTTCGATTCCCGGCGAAGGCGTTGCATATTTTTCAATCTCTCTTGCTTCCAAAACCACCTTATGTCTCTATATGTTAATTAATAACATATTAAATATCAAAGAGTAATATCTTACGTTTTTCCTAATGGCAACAGACTCAAATGTAAAATGAAATCATGTTTCAAGACTAATAGCTCTTTTGAGCTGAAAACGCGCCATTTAAAAATAAGGCTTTAAGGTGCATAAGTTCGGGTGCAGAGCTACGTCTATTCAAAATCTGGTGGCTAGATGTTGTCGTTTGCCCATAATGCGAGAAACAAATTCTTCATTATTAAATAAATAGTGGAAGAAATAATTCTGATAACGAGTAAGGATGACAAAGAATTCCTTCCTATCTTCCCGTGCATTTTCGCGAAAATTCTTTCTTAACTTTCATTTTAAATCACATAGTTTGTTCTTTTGTTTTGCACGACCTCGACAAACAGACATAAATAAATTCTAAAACGTTAGCCTCATTTTGTATGTGATTTATTCTCTCACTTTCGAATGTTCGTGCCATTAATTCAAGTTCTGGTATTTTATTTATTTTTTCCACTCTCTGGAAGTTTATTATTCTGTAAGAGAAACACCAACGGCCGAATATCAAAAAGAATTATGGCAGCGTAACTGTGAATAGTCGTACAAATTAACATTTTAGTTCTCATTGGCAAAATAACTATATAGCTACTTTTTTTTTTAATCAGGTGAAATCTATTTGTGTAACAAAACTGTATGGAGGAATGAAATTCTCCTACATATACAGAAAGTAAAATTTCAAAATATACGATTTATATGGAGCATCAAACAACATTAAGATTCACCTTAAAAAATAATTATTTAACAAAACTCTAAATTGACCTAGTTAAAAATTTAAATGTGCGTTAAGCGATCTGAAAAACACAGTTTAATCTGAATCTTTTGCTTCCAGGAAAATTTGAAATTTTTTCCTTGACATAATAATAAAGCACATAAATGGGAAAACTTGTTGTTGCCATAGAAGTGCACTGATAAAATCCAGGGTCTTTAAGTAGCATATAGTCCAGTTCTACAACTTTTTAACATATACAAATAACGGCTCACATATACAAATATTCGTTCAGATAAACCTTTTTTAAACTTACATTTACATAACACTAAAATTATTAGAGATTTGTATCTCATTTACTCATTTGTATTTAGAGGAAAAAAATCTCAAATTTTAACGCCGCACCAGAGGGTTTATTAAGGTTTTTAAAGCTCTCGTTGAGCTCGCATTTATTTATCAGCTTTTGAACTCACTCCTGCTGAAGCAACTTTTTGCCTTTTAAATTTTTTAATTAAATATTACTTCCTTCGCACTTACGTCACTTAAATTTTAATGCAAAATCACAAGATTTTTTAAAAAAGCGTTACTTTAAAAATCTCTGTGCAATGTTAAGTGTTGCCATACATTTTTTTTTTTTTTTTTTTTTTTTTTTACAGAAAGGCCAGAATTTTCGAACATCTCTTTTGCGTTGAATCACTTTTCAAATAAGTAGCCAGTATCGCGACCAGCACTTAAAATAGTTACTGTAAAAATAAACAAATGTATATAATGTTTTAATAAATCTAGCTAGCATCACTTTACAGATTCAACTGGTAATTAATAACAGATATAAAGAACTGTGTTTTACTGATTTTAAATCGCTTAGTTAGTTTGTTAATCGATAACAGACAGATTAAATTTAAAAGAAAAATTACATATCTTACGCTTCGCGAAACGGCAGCAAAGTGGTTAAAATTATTTTATATCGGATATCTTTAGAAGTTCTGATAAAGTGTTAAATGCTGTATAGATTTTTTTATACTATCTGTATTATTTTATTCAAAACAATACATGGCGATAACATTTGGTGGCAACATCCTTTTATTTGTATCGCCATTTTTTTTACATATTCACTGTATTATTTCTTTGCTAATACTGCATGACTATAATATTTAGTGATAACATTTGAAAAGTGGTAAGGGCAAAAAAAGTGAAATTTGAGACTAATAGCAGGTGCTAATAACAAGAAGAAGAAAAAAAAAAAAAAAAAAGAGAGAGAGAGAGAGAAAGAAAGGACACCAAAAGATTATATCTTGTGGTAATATGGTATCAGAAATGCTTCAAATATTCATAATTATCAGCAAGATACATTTATTAAATATATATACTCATTAAATTTATTAAGAACTGTGCTTGTCGATTTTTAAATCACTCGTTTATTTAACAGTTACAAAATGATTAAATTTGAAAGCTAAATTAAAGATTTTAGGATTCGTTGAATGGTAAAACTCTGAAAATTGGCTGCAAAAAAAGTCACGTGAAGTATACAGATTTTATGTTTCACGCAATAATAAAACTTGCCTAGAGTTACATTGATGATAAATGCATGGTAGCATAATGCAGTCCCAAAATTTTTGGAAAGGCTGCGCAGAAAACGTTTAGAACATCAAAAGAAAAGGCGAAATCAAATAAAAATCTTAAAGAAAGAAAATCTGAAAGCTTTCAGATTTTATATTACGGCCAAAAGGGCTTTTTTTTTTTTTTTAGCGTGTTGTGTTTTACCTTTATGTATTAAATATCATGCTTTTCGCACTTAAATCACATAAATTTCAGTTCAACAGCAATATCACAAAATATTTAAAAACAGCAAAACAGTATATTTTAGAATTTCCTATACGCAGTCCCGCGTGCTGGAGATAAAAATGTTTCTTTTTCTGTACAGTGTTGCCTATGCTCGCTTTGAAATTGTTGAGTTTGTTAATAAAAAATTCGTTACAGTTTTACAAAATTTGAAATAGATAATAAAACAAATTCGAAATTCAAAATTCGGGCTTCCAAGTGCCCATGTTCGATTGGAGGACTACGGTATTCAAAATTTGATGGCTGTGGGTACCTTTTTTTCATATTGCGAGAATTATTCATGCAGATTCTTCACTATTTATTTTCTTTAAATATAATACATGGCGATAATATTTGGTAGCAACAGTTCGAAAAGGGAATGACTCAAAAATAAAGCAATGCAAAATGCCGTTTTGAGACTAATAGCCATTTGGATCTAACTCTTCTTTGGGTTAAGAATTTTTATTAGAAAACTCAATAACATTTATATGTTCAATGAAATATTCTGAATATGTTAAAAATTATTTACTCTGTTCAAAAAACTATTTGCGTTTTGTGCAATTATACTCCTTGACTCAATTTCTGATATTTCTTCAGAAGCAGTAATTCCTTAATTCTTGCTTTGTGAGATCTGATGTATTCCTCAGTTAAACTTTTCAACTAATATTTTCAATATTCCTCAGTTAAACTTTTCAACTAATATTTTCAAGCTCCAGTTCAGTTAAAATCGAACGTTACTAATTAAATAAATAAATCATAGCGCGATCGTTCGAAATAAATTCTAAATTTATATATTAGTATGTTATCATGCTTCGGTAAAATGAAACATTAAAAATAGGTTTTGACCATGTTAAGTAAAGTTTTGAACACCCAAGTGTAGCAACTAATTTATCTGTATCACGGTATGCGTGAGATTATTTGTTTATGAGCTGTGACCAAACGTTTTAGATATATTTGACTATATAAAATTTAGTGCATTCAAATTATATCGGAAGATTTGAAAGTTCGCCTGAAAGTAGAGACCCTTGCATAAATAAAGCCTTTTTCTTTTTTAAATAATAAATAAAGGCTTTTTCTTTTTTAAATAATAAATAAAGCCTTTTTCTTCCCCCCCCCCAAAAAAAAATCACATGAACGTTTAAAACATATCCTTTCACCTTCTGTTCCTGGTAACGAAGAATAACATATGCGCTATTATGTGTTGCCAAAAAAAGGAAGCAAGACATATTGTAACGAAGATAATTTAGGAATAAAAAGAATATGCTAAGGGCTCTTAGAACAAACACTTCCGTGATAAATATCAATATCTCTAACCGTACGTCCCTGACCTAAAAGTCCAACAGCAATTAATTAATATTTTTATTTACAATTTGAATCTCTTGCTAAACTTCATTATATCATTCGCATTATTAAATTTAATTTTATGCTCAACTTTCTTTCATTTCTTTAATATATAATCCTCCAAATGACAGCGTAAAAGCAAACCGAAAAAGAAACAAAAAATTACATAGTTACCTACCGTCAGCTTCTATAGAAAAAAAAAAAAAAAAAAAGCTTATTTGATTACACGTTGGAAACCGGAAGGCGGCAACAATTAAAAAAAAAAAAGTTACAGGCAGCGTAACGATGTGAAGTTGCTGTATGTAGATTAGCACGGGGAAAAAATGAGGAAAAAGAGCGAGTGACGTGTCGTTTACGCATGCGTCGTTTATTTCAGTTAGAGGTCAATAACGTTTAACTTACTAATTAATGGGTACACCAATGCAAATGCTTCTTCCTCGTGTTATCTGTGACAGTAATTCCGAGGAAGTCACGGGCGGCAATTCTTCAAACCATTCTGCGAGTTTCGGAAAATTTATGTTTGTACTAGCGGGCTGCAGTTAAAGCAAAATTTATAAGTTCTATGTACATCTGGAAAGAAAATGTCAGCCTTATTTTGGCTTGATTAACAATTTTCGGCCATACAAAATAGGGTTGTACCAATGTTGTCATACAAACATACTTTAACTGCTACTCTGTGTACTGTTGTTTAACTCCGAAACGTTGATCATCACGAGGAAAGAAAATTACATACGTCATCGGTTCCAAGTTACGATTTAAAATACTGATATTAATGACATCAACACCTCTTGCATGTATTACAATATCTCTGTTTGATGCAGGAACGCCATCTGCATTCTTGAAAACCACAGCAACTTCATTTCCTTTTGAAGCGTTGTAACGTCCTCTGTGCTCACTTGTAACAACATTTTTGCCCTTGATGTACGTATGGATAGCAGCAGCAGTTTCAGTACCTTGCTTTCGTAGAGTTCCTTCTTCAAATTCTTTTCAGCATCTTGTAGGCATATGAATTCATATACCTTAAAACTAAATCCGATTGTGTCAGCATTCAGAGCACCATTTCCAAGAATATTCGTTCTCTGTCTGAGCGCTTGATCCGAATCTAAACTATAGAGCTGGGCATACTGTTCTTGATCAGGATGAGGTGGATGAAGGTGTTTGCTCGGTGATATATGGCACCATGAATTCTAAAACAATAGGGACCCGAACCTGTATTTCTATATTGGTACCCAAGGAAGCAAAACTAAGAAGACAGTCATAAGTACGTATGTTAGCAAAAAAATCTCGAGAAAATTGGTGGTTCACCATTCATTAAATTACCGAATTCTTCTGGATATCTTCTTCCTAAAAATAGATTGGAAAGAAGCATGAAATCCTGTTCATCAGGTGTAGATTAGATGAGATATAGTCTATCGCATTTTAGCTACGTACATCCTTACACATTTCGGATCAGAAGACATGAAAAATTAACTCTGACCTCAGCAGCAGACGAGCTACGCTAATGCTAGTTCTTAATCCACGAGCTGCTAGTTGGACACGTTTATCACGTATATGGCTATAACACGCACGGGATGGGGTATGTGATAATTCCTTACACTTTTATATCTAAGCAACAGTATTATTAATTTTTATTATGCAATTACGCACTTTTTAAATTCCATCTATAGAATATCACTTTAAAATAATAAGCGTTGTGAAAATACATTCAAAAATCAATTAATAGTGGACGAAAATTTTGACATGAAAGTTTCTGAAGTTATTTTTCATAGAAAATATGTTAAAAAATAATACTGATGAAAATGATACATACTGTTACGAAATGTCCAGTCGCGGTAAGATAGCTTCCCCACAAGGCGGGTTTAGGGTTGCCAGAAAATGGCAAGGAAAAGCAGGGTTGAAAAAATTTGGCGCAAAATCTCCCATTTGGCAACAAATCGGCGATATGCCATAGACATTCTAGAACGCATTCTTATCGGTTTGGCCCAGAATGTTCTCGACGGTAGGTCAAAAGTTAGATAAATCCTGCCTATATGCGGAGTAGCAGTATAGTGTCTAGGTGTCTCGTCAGTGAATCGTGAGAACGACCTAACCGAGTCGGGAGCTGTACTCAAGTGCTTTGCCGTGAAGCTGTCTGTACCACCTGTAGCCTGAAGGCTGTGTTGCTGATTGTTTCAGAGTGTTTGTAGTAGTTTTTTGACGACTGCAGACGTGTTTTTGGACCTACCCTGAGTAATACTGGGTAATAATTATGTTTTGATACTTCGTTGTGTGTTGTCGTCAATCACTCCAAATTCACGAACCCGTAAAAACGCAACAATACAGATATCAGTTGTTTCGATTTTATTTTCCTACAAAGCTAACCCAAATTATTTAATGGAAATATTCTGGATACTTTTATGAAGCCCTGCATGTAGACTTGGTGTCCACCCCTTCTCCCCCCCCCAAGAAAAAAAGAAAGAAAGAAATACTCGGCGAAATGGTTCTCTGTAATTAGTGTAAAAAGAAATTAAATTGTAGGGTACAAGCATGTATAAAAACTTACTTTCCATCCAGCTGATAAACTGTAGCCACCAAATTCTGTACATTGGCAGGTGTGCCATCCGTCGGCAATGATAAAAGAATGAAACTTTTCCCAGCCGCACTGTTGACACCAGGACTGGCAGATCCCGGATTTTGAGGTTGTTGCTGCTGTTGGACTAACCGATTGATGTTCTGTACGACGGCTGAATGCTGTTCGATTCCATATGCAGTGACGACGGGTGGAAAATAACCAGGAAGCATGTTGAGAGACAGTTGACTCACGGACCTAGCAAGACAACAGTTCTTTTTAACGCAATTTCTAATGGTACAATTTTTAAAATTTAATCATACTGCACAGAAGTTAAATCAAGTGTGTGAACTTAAAGAACATGTAGACCCCGTGGTGTTTCAGTACGGATGCTGTGGTGTTCTAAAGAAAAGCTTATACCACTTCTACAGTGTCTACCCGAAGCGCATCGAAGCACCTATAAACATCCGAAGCGCCATTTTGAGGACAATTTTTATTCGTTTCCGTGTTTCGGCGGTCCTTTTTTGGAGATTCTTTCAATAATGTTATATCGAAAAAGTAGGCTGAAGAATGGTCTCGCGGTTGCCTCTAAGTGTTCAGACCATAACTGTTTTTTATTATTCAGTTCTATAGATTTTTTACTTAAATTTTGTTTACCAGTAACAGTCTACCTTCTAATTCCCCTTTCAGAATATTACAATACGTCTGTAAATCTCACGCTTTTAATTTTTTTAATTCTCGCAATATTTCGTATTTGTTCACGAATATTATATTGAGACTAAGGCTATTAATAATTACACAGTGACGGGGGCTTGAACAGAGAGAGATTTGAACTGTTCTTATTAAAAAAAAAATGAAGTTGTTAATTTTACAGAAAAAGACATGAAAAACACCAAGATATGATAAAACAGAAGTGCTATTCCCAGATACATACAAAATGATACAAAAGGGATGGTAATATTTAGCTCAACGCAAAAATCTACCAGTGTTTGTGAAAATTCTCATTGAAAAGCAATTTTAAGGGACAATAGTTATTATATTATATTATCTTAGACTGATAAAGAAATACTATATCTCGAAAAAAAAAAAAAATCCAGCGCGAAAGTATTTTCTGGCGAAGGCTAAACAGCCCTTTTAGAAATTAAATCGCCTTTTAACTCATATTTAAAAAAGTGGCGTATGATAAAGTATGATATTCGAATGAAACTAACGTTCTTTTTACCTCGCATTGCTCAAAGGCAACAACTGCTCCGTCAGACTTCCATTGTTATTGACCATATGATTGTGCAGGTGGTCGGGTTGCGCTGGCCTTGAACAGCAGCCTTTTCCCGTCGACACATGTTTCCTGGCTCCCGCCTGCGAATTTCCGTTGCTGCAGCAGTGAAGGATAGAGCCAATGAGCACCAAAACGACACCCACTCCAGACACCATAAGCCACATGGGATCCCACCTGTGGAAAGCCAGAAAGACACCTCCTGTCATTAGGACACATGCTAGGATGCCAAGAAGGATGGATGTGAACACTTGAGGATTGCAGCATCCACCGGAAGCATCAGAGGAATCCTCTGAAGCGTCGTAGTCCTCTTGGCAGGCGCATCTGCAAGTTCCGCCACCGGTGGACTCGACCATGGTGTAGCTGGTCTCATCCGACACGTGTGGACATGCGACACCCTGCAAAGAAAAGTAAAATTTGATGTTAAAGACAGAACACGAAATATTCATTACTGTTAAATGGCAATAGTTTTTAAAATGAGTATATTTTCAAGCAACATAAATATCATTATGAAACTACAACCGCACGGGCTATACCGGCTCTTGCTCCGGTCTTGATTATTAGCCAGGTTTCTTATATAATTACTGCTTTGTCTTATTCATTGAGTTCCCCTGTTTTATAGCCGCACCTTGTTAAATTATTAGCGATGAAACAATCTCACCACAGTGTAAGAGACTGCACTGTTTTACGTAACTGCATTGTTTTACGTACACATCAATTCATTTCATGTAACTTATTTATTTGTCTTTCATTTAATCTATTTTTAAAACTGATTCACAAATTATTACTTATTTCTGCTGAATTTGCTCATCCTCTCTTTTCGACCATTTATTGTTAGGAATTTGTTACAATTTTATTCAATCGCCAACTGCACGTTCGACAACATTCGCCAAAATTTTATTCTAAATATGTGTATCCTAGGCATTGTGTTACAGGCAATTGCATCAGTGGGGTTTTCGGCACACTACGCCCCACGGCCACTTTCTGATGGCGAAAAGAAAGAAAGACCCTCATTCCTTTGTGGAACACGTTTTCCTTTCTTTTAGTTGTGTTGCATGCGTACAAGCTCTTAATAGATAGAATGCACATTGAACCGATGATAGTTTGATAAAATGGATTTCATCAAAAGAAACACTTTACAATTCTGGAACTTTCCATAAAAATACTCCTACAGCTCTTCTGCATATCACATAGTACAATCGGTAGTTACAATTCAAATTACTAAGAACGTTAAACGCAATGCAGTGCAAACTGCGTCTAAAACGCAAATCTCTCTCGGATATTTCAATACTGCTATTCCGATCTTATATAGTTTTCCCCAGCCGCCGAGAAATTTCTAGTGCTTTCTACTTCTCGAAATAACTCGAAGGCATATGAAGGTCGAATACGGTTAAAGTTACATATAGGGGATCAATTATATTTTTTAAATTACAAGACAAAGGGAGCGAGCCAAAATGTTGTCAGACGGTCGCCAAAATGTTGTCAGACTTTTGGCAGTTTCTTGCCAAATTTGACGACACCATTAGTAGCCAAAACCATCGCCAGCTTGGAGATATCTGGCCAATTTAGCGAAATAGCCATTTTCCTCAGTGTTAAAGAGACTTGTCCTTTAATCTTATTTTTTCAGCTGAGCTTTGTCTCTTTCAAGTATTTTTAGATTATACAAAAAACAAACAAACAAAAATATTAGTTTCACGTATAATTTTACTCAAATTATTTGCATGTATACAAAATTCATAACAGTAAGAGCTAAGAAGTACCGGAGCCGGGCTCCGGTGGGTTACTGCGCAATTTGGGCTCTGCTTAAAATAATAAAGGTAGTTTTTAAAACTACTTTTATTTCTGTAATAACTAATTAATGCCTCTACCGTGATTACAGAAATTTGAATAAATTAACAAAAACTGGCTGACAGAAAAACTTTGCAAGGTGAAGAAAAATAAAATACGTCTTCAAACGAAAAACGCTTTTCTTTTCACATCGTGGAAAAAATAAAATAAAATAAATAAATAAATAAAAATAAAAAAAGTCGTATTCCTTCAGTTCCTTTATGGCCGAACTTCAGCTTAATTGGCATTTTCGTATAAATACGTCAGAATAATAACAAGGCGGAACTATTTTCCACTTAGCACTCCTGGAAAAGGAAGAGCGGAAAATCTAAAAGCCCATTTCCAATCAAACTTCTATCTACTTCCGGCTGTTTCCGAAAAGTAGCTGACGTTTATTTATTATATGTCGTTACTTATCGCAATTATTTCCCGGATTGCAATACATCTCAATTCTAACCGCCATGATTTGTTTTACTGTACCGACATCATCTTCATATAAAATAATGCTCATAGGATATAATGCTAGGTTAGGCTTTTAGGAACTTTTTTGATGTACGATCGAAATAGTTTGGAGTTTTTTTTTTTTTTTTTTTTTTTTTTTTTTTTTTTTTTCTCCATTGTGTAAGGATATGGAGATTTCTCTGCGGCCCGGAGAAAATCAGCTTTTAGTTTTTAAGTGTTATAATTTTAAAAAAGGAAGAATAATTATGTTAATTGATAACAGGAGGTACACTTTCAATAAATCTAGTTTAAAGAAATTTATATGAGAAAGTCTAATTTGTATACAACCTTCCGGTCTATTTCAGGCCTGAGAGCAAGTGATTTTGTTTCAACTCCGAGAAAAGTTTAAAATTTATATTATGACAAAATAGGATGTTATAGCCAATCCGAAATTCGGACTGATTTATTTACGAAACAGGGTGGATGGACATGAATCGTGTAGTAGGGTTTTTTTTCCTTTCCCCCCTGTTTATTTTCACTGACTTTAAAGCCCAGGGTTAACTATTTGATTGCATTATATTTAATTTATGCATTTATTTTTTTTATATATTGTTAAAAATATGAGCGTTTTCGAAACTTAATTTTGCTAGTTGTGCATAATTTTGTTACAGTGTAATCTAAAAATATTTGTTATAATTCAATAATAACTATAACAATATATAAATATTCAATAATACTATATAAATTCAATAGCATATATAAATCTACATTCGAATTCTTGTAGCAATAAAAATTATAGAATTAAATATAATAATCAAGTAATTATAATAATTATTTTACAATTACACTTTATCATAAAATTATGTACAAACAAATTTAGATTTGGGGATGGGGAGAAAGAAAAAAATAATTATTTTAGAAAAAAGAACGAAATAATTATTGTATGAAAGATCACAGTATTGGTAAATGTTAAGAGAGAACTCTCATGTGACCCCCCCCTCACCCTGCGGCACGTAATTAACAGCCTTTTGAACGGTTCCATCTATAACTAGAGTCAGTCAATAAATTCGTGCGCATTTTTTGGCAAATTTTTAAGTAATATAAAAAAACCACAATTTAACATTTTAATCAATTATATATTTTTCTCCATTACCTACAATGTCTCGCCATCTTACAGGCAGTTTTTTTACGCCATTGCTGTAGAAAGACTCTGGTGTTTTGATGCAAAAAAACTTGAAAGTTCATTGTGTACATCCTGTTTAGAATTTAATTTTTTTCCCAGTGAAAAATTTTCTAAGGCACGAAATAAGTGAAAATCACTTGGGGCAGTATCTGGGGAGTAAGCAGGATGTGCCAAAAGCTCCCAATTAAATTCACTAATTTTTTACAGAGTTGCTCGAGCTGTATGCGGTCTAGCGTTATCATGATGAAGCAACGCTTTTTTGATATTCACCCATCGTGGGCGTTTTTTGATCAATTCTGAGTTTAGACGGCAAAGTTGTTCACATAAACTTATGGAATCGTTTTGATTTGGTTTTAACAGTCAAACGTCCATTTCCATGCTGCTTTTCCAACTTAATTTTTTAAAACCATTTTGGGCAGTCCTTACTAATAGTGCGTTCATCAGGTACACTATTAATTTTTATCGCTGCAAACCTGGCAGATTCACCACACGAAAATAAAAAATGTAGCACAGCACGTTTGTACTGATTATCTATATTCATCTTCTATGGGTACTAAAATGCGTTCGATATTTACGAAAGTTTGTGATGAACTGAATAACATGTTAGTCAAACGATGGCAAGTTTCAACAGGTTTAAAATTCTATTGTTTTAGTAAATGCATCATAGTGAATTCCACACATACTCTTAATGCGCACGAACTTATGGACTGACCCGATATTTTATTCTAACTACTTTTTTTACTAAGATAACAATTTTTCACTACCACTCAAGTATTAAGTTGAAATGTAACTGCAAGTTCTCGCTTTAGGAAAAAATAAATGAAATTTAAAGCGGTGAATTTTCCCTGTGGCAGACATGCTATATTCCAGATCAAATAAAGAGCATATAGACAGAGATGAGTAATGAGTACAAAATGTAAAGAAAGAAATTTCTAAAATGTTCATTCGAGGCTACTGATTGGCTGAATGGAAAACGCTCTGACAAGGTCACATCAGTTTCGGTCCAATTTAAGTGCTTTCAAATGACTCAGAAGTAAAATCACACACCGCTTCATAGTGGCTGCAAACGTCAAACGTCAAAAATGTGTTTTTTAGAGCAATCTCCAACGTAGTCGATATAGACCCCTCAAGGAAGAAAAGTAACTTAAAAATCATTAACGTCATAAATAACAAATCGATAAGATTTAATTTTAAAATTAATTTATTGTTATTATACATATTGTAAGCTCCACGTCTATTTCAATTAATACAATGATTCCCTTCAATCAATGGCAAAAATACAAAGAACTAAATCCTAACTCTCATAACTGCTAATTTAAAGTCTGATGTGTACACCACATGATTTCCTTCCTTTCAGATTACGCACATTTGACGCTGCACTTCATTTAAGCTTATTTCCTCCAATTAGTCTAAATTAATTACGCGATTCCTTAACGCAACTTGAAAATGACATTAAAAATTCCAAATTTTGAAATTAAATATCTCAGTCAACTTTTGGCGAAAGGGAGTCAAACTTCTTATAATTTTATTTTTTCATACCGAGTGTAAAACTTTCCCAAATAAGTGTAAGAAACACGAGACTGTGTTAAGAGTTAGATATCGTTATTTGACCAAAATTATCATTCTTTTAATTTAAAATTGTCAAAACATGAATATTTTTGTCATTTAAAATATTTATGTAACTGGAAGTATATGACTACGACCAACGACTGCGAAAATAAAGGCCAGGCAAAGACGGTAGGTATAAGTGTACATATGTAGAAATATATAGATAGATACTTATGTATATACTTTTGGAAAGGCCGATTGCAACTAAAAAGGAAGGTATACAGTTGCATGTTATAGCAGTCTCATGTACGAAATTTCGACGTTCTACGGCTAAGCGTTTTTGAGTTATGCGAGATACATACGTACGTACACTGCAGGGGGGAAGGGAAAAACAGTTCT